TGTGAACGAGTGCTTAAAATCCGTGCGTCCCCTCTGTTCTAGGGTTAGTGTGTCCCGACGCTGTTTGCCTGACCTTACGGTCTTGGGTGAACAATATCTTCACATTCGTCAATCTAGAGCGACACTGTGCGCACGCCCCGCCCACAGTGGGCGGGGTTTGGCCCATTTAATGTGTGTTCCGTACATCTTGGCCCATGCCCTACCTATCCACCCTTGACCATGCCCCTCAAACTGACCCTTCCGGTGATGCCGAATTTCCGGACAGACACAGACAGACAACTTCTGGTGTATATACAGAGATATTACGGTCGAAAACTCTCATTAAGAAAAGAAACGTACCCTCAATGATTCGACGGCCACACACTCCACTTGTTCACGTTCACTGCCACCTGAAAAACGAAACGTGACTAAAGACGATCAATTTTTGAGCTTTACGACTGCATACGACTCTACTCGCACAGTACAGTACTGAAGAAAAAACCCACCGCTATTCTCGAACATCGACTGTGATGCTCCATTATCATTGGTGTAATCTGGCAGACATCCGAGTAGATCAGCCACCTATATAGAACAGTATCAGTAAAGGTTTCGTGAAAAACCATCGAGAATGCCTACCTGCTCCATTGGTACGATTTCCAACTGCAATTGTGGACGCCTGTTTGCGGGAAGCCTCAGACAGACAGTGTTGAACGCTCGCATTACTGCCAATGTTGCTACACGAGTGAACAAGGCGCTTCGGAATTCCGTTCCCCATGTGAATGGGTTGAACTATAAAGAAATGTGTCTAAGCATGAAAGGAAGAAAATAAAATCCTAACTCAATGCAGAAGATATGAGGTACGCACCACGTAGATCACCACGACGTGAGGTAAGGTACCCGGCTCGTCAACTGGGATGTCTTCCGGTTCAAGAGGAGGTTCTGCAGGTGGTGGCTCAGGCGCTGCAACTGAAGCGCCCTGCTCAGCCGAATCTGCAAAATAAAGGCAGTTGAAAGTTTTGTCCTATGCATCATTGTTGGTACATAATGGGCGAAAAAGAGAATCTGGAGCACAGAAAGAGCACGTACTCTCAGCCGCTCGTTGTTCAACAGCTAGCGCCACTGCGGCTGCAGCAGCCCTTTTAGCCCGCCAGTCTAGAGCCAATGTCTCTCGATATGTTGCTCTTTCGAAGATATCATCCCGTTCCGATAGTAACTGGTGGACGCTCTCCTCCATTTGTTGCGTGAAGAGCTGAACTAGGAAAGTTTAAGCATGTTCTCCAGAAAACGGAACCAAGCAAAATAACTTGCCCTGAGCTTCGTCATGAACGCCTTGTTATCCACATATCTACCCACAAGGTTCAAAAAGTCGAGTGTTGTGGTTTCTGTCGGATATTTACCGGTTTGAGTTCGGCTACCAACACGCACACAACCGTCTCGGCTATCAACTCCTGTTGGCATGGCGATATGACGACCCAATCGCATTCGCTCATACATCCTTCAAGTAGATCAATCATTGGATTTGAAAAAGAAGTCGGATTCGATAATCAAGGCTTTCCTGTCGCTGGAGAAAATTTTGGCAGACACTCCACCCTCGATTCTCTTCTCTGGTTCGACCATCTCTTCATGTCCATCTAACCTACCACCATCTTCCCGACCCTTCCCAACTTCCTACAGTTTCCCCACTTCTACAAGAACATCTCCGGTTCTTCCCCACGAAACTGGTGTCGAAGAGGGGGAGGGGGTGGGGTGGGTGTCGCCATCGGACAGCCACTATTTTGAACCATCTAAAATAGGATTGCACAGGATATGTGAAACGGAAAAACCCCGAAAAGTCGACAACTACAAAACTTTCACGCGTTTGAAAAAAATCGTAAGGTCAAATACAATCTCCTCCCCTCAAAAGCGACCAGCAATCAAGACAGCCCCTTTCCTTCGGTTGGGTATAGACGGAAATAATTCGTCTCAGGTCTCCCTAGTTTTCCAGTGTCACTTCTGCAACCAAACACGACCCCTCCCACCGAGGACCTTACGTACGGCATGCCCTGCCAACAATAATAACTTACTGGCTCAACTGCTCCATGTATTTCACTGCCAAGCTAGAAATGTCGGCATTGTCTGGAACAACAGCAAGATAAAGCACATCCTTTGGTTGATCTATCGGGCCAAGGGAAAGGTGTTCCCAGTGTCGTACCACCTAAATCATTGATTAGCATTAAGTTTCTTTATCAATCAGAAGAAAAGCCGGAAAAATAAGAAACTATTTGTTCGATACATGAAAATTTCTACACGGGAATAAGACTGCTTATATGAGGAGCAAAAAGACTGCTTACATGTGGAGCAGCTCTTATCGCATCCTTCTCAGCAGCAACATTGATGTATGGAATGGGCTCTGGTAAGCTGATATCGTCATCGTGAGATGGAGCAGATGACTTCGGGAGGCTTTTATTAGTTAACGCTCGCCACGTCAATGGTCCCTCCACAATATTACCGGGTGCGGTATGCATACATCTGAAGAGACCGATATAACTATGTAATTAAACTGAGCAATATAAGCAAATATTCACGATGGTGGTGAGTTACAGCGCAGCCAGTACAGCATTTCCCGCCAACTGTTGCGGCTCAGGATTGCACACAGGGCCTCTGGTCCCCCTTCCTATCTTCCATCTTGCTGTCCTCCTCGAATTTCTTAGCTTCCTTCCTCTTTTCACGAGTTTTTTCGAAAATTTCTCACTTTCTCCAGAAAACCGCAGCTGAACAGGGGGGGGGGGTAAGGAGAATTACGGTCACAAACGGGAAAATCAGAAAAAAACAACAACCGAAAACACCTTTTCCTTAAAGACTGTCCCCGCGCTCAAGCTATTTGTAGACGTCCTCCCTTGTACAAGCAGTCTGGTACTCAATCTCTGAGAATATTCCATATTCACTGCTTCACTGTAAGTAAGGCATTGCGACCTCCATGAGTGGCAGGTCAGTGATCTGACGCCTCCCCAGTTATTCTGCCCACCAACAGTTGGTATTAGTACAAGATGACGCGGAGGAACGAATAGTGAACAAGAGGACATCGCTTTACTGGAGGAAAACGAGCGAGTAGGCCAAGAGAAGTCGACCAGAGATGCTGCCAGGTCCCTACTCAGGAGGTTCTCCATGACATTTTTTCGCTTGTTCCTTCCCTAGAGAGTTATTTAGCGTCGCTCATGGTCGCTAAATGAAGGCCACGATACACAAAATGCAAACGCGCGGTTTGTCTCTAAAGGCAAATATGACCCTCTCTCCAGCGACTAAAGACACCCCGCCCCTCGGTGGGATCACCAACGTACGACATGCCCTGACTGCACCTCCTGTGGTAACAGCAGCGTTGGCAGGGCTAGTGCTGGTTGGACTCCACACTACGATTACCTCCTGGGCTCAGCCTTAGCAGAGCGCAGATAATCGTAGTGTCATCCATTAGCGCCAGCGACAAGAGTGAATGTCATATTCGTAATTTAAACTACCCCTATATACAAGTTTTTAGCGGATTTGGTGACTTAGGCAATTTAAAAATGAGCTCGGTGCCGAAATTTCTGGAGTCCAAACGGCATTAGCCCGTTGGCAGCACTCCAGCCCACGCCCCGTCATACGCCTATCGGGATAATGACTTCACTCAACTTACCGAACAATTCTCATTGCTCTTTCAACGATAGGACCAATTTCCGATAGAAGTCCTCGCCATTCAGCTTCCCGCGGATCTCGAACTTCATTCGCTACCTGTGCGTATCAGATTAGCCCTCCAAAGCTATAAATGGAAAGATGTACACACTACCTGCAGTCCCCATGGATGGAAGAATTGAAGTATCGGTTGATTCGTATTCCGCGAACGGTTGCCACTGACTACAACAGTATCGAATGATATGTAATGTAACACATGAATTCAAGATCAGCCCGTATTTCCTTTTCAATTCACAAACACTTCAATGACGTCACTACAAAATAAGCAGAAACGCTAGAAAACGAAGAGGCTCACTTCTCGACATTTCAGCTGCTGAGTTTCCTATTAACATGAGTTCGGTTGCATCCACTTGCGATAAAACATACTCGGCATTGCTTGACACATCAAAACCAACTTCTTGAGGCTGCAACGCATAAACTAGTTCTTAAGGATCGAATGAAAAAGTATCAACGAACCTTTATAGCTTTATCTACTTGTTCAACAAACTGTGCGATCTGGTGTACCGTTCGTCCCATGTTGTGCTGTTGACACATGATCCGCAACAAATCCAGCATATTCACGTCGGTCGAACTCGTGGAGTCAAACCTAAAGTAACACTGATTAGACTGCGTTCATACTTTGCGTAAGGGTATGTCAGAGTACGCCATCGACTAGGAAAACATAAGTGTTGACCTGGCGTACGACAGCGTATACCAGCGTTTTCGCGGACAATTTGAGCTTGAGCAAAACTGCCCGCGAAACGCTGCTGTACGCTGGCGTACGCTAGATCAATACCTATACTTCCCTAGTCGGCGGCGTAGGCGTGCGCTCGAAACGCTGCTGTATGCTGACGCCGATTACAGACTAATCCTCACTCAAGAGGAAAAACGATGTGAGTATTGAAATAAAGCTGCAAAGAAACTACTAACCATATCTGACTACTTGCTTGCAGACCGACTTCTGCACCAAGACCGTTCACCGGAGCCACAGAATGTTCAATAGCCGTCGCCTCACGAGAATCTTCGGGAAACAGGCCAGAACACAGAGAAAGATAACGATGGCGGACAGCGCTGAATACTTACATTTTTGAAACCCGAACAATGCAGCCTCCAGATTGGTTTTTTAGAGCTCTCGTGAGAAAGCTATCATGATTTTTTTGCTCAGACTTCCTCAGAAGCCTTATCTAAACTCACACACTATTTTCTTTTCAAAGCACAACCTTTCCGAACAAATTCAAGGTTTTAGGAGTGAGGTTTCTAGTAATTATTTAGATTTAACAATTAATATCATTAACGGTAAAATTAGTACCAAGCTGTATAATAAAACGGATGATTTTACCTTCAGTGTTATCAGATTTCCGTATAGGGACACAAATATCTCTCTTATCAACAAATCCTCTGTTATATATACGGAAACTTTGAGGTTAGCGAACACTTGTTCGTTCTTCAACGCTTTCGTTAGCAAAATAACGGATATGATCACCACTCTTTTGAAAAATGGCTACGAGGAAGATTTTATTATTACTAGCATTGTTAAGTGTATTTATAAAAATAAATTTATAAGTTACAAGTACTCAATCGCAAATAACTATAGAAAGATAAATAGACTAGTCACAGGTTTACTCATTTGCAGCAGTGATCAACACTAATTCCCTTCTTTCCACTATACTTTAATTGATTTATTTCTGGTATACCTTCTCTTATACTCAACATTCTCTCAGTGGTTTTGCCGGTTTACTCCTTTTCCCTTCCTTCCACAAGTATTTACAGCACACTTCGTGTTATAGTATAATTCATCATCATCTTGATGCATGAACTTTGCATGTTACCCCCTTTTTTACAATCTCTCTCTTTTTGTCCTATTTCTCACACCTTCCCCTATGTAGTCTATGTCCTCTTGTCTTCAACCTATCGCACTGATGATGCTCGGGGGTTGGCTAGACAATGATGATTCGTCTGCGATACCGAGCGAAACGGATCATCTGTGTTGTGGAGTGTATTCCTTTCCCATGTTTGTTTTTCTTTGCTTCTAATTGGACTCTGCTGGTGTTCATTGAACTTCGAGGGTAACCCGAGTTCAGTGAAATACCAGTTCCGTCTTACGGGTTATATCTTGTTTCTCAAATACCACACTCCTTCGCTACCTCTTAGAGGCAAATCGCCTCTCGCACCGGTGGTGCTTGCTATTCGGACCGGTGGTCCAAACACGCGGCCGGTGGTCGCTCTTCGATTTCAGCTATTTCCATTCGACATACACTACTCACTTCCGTCTATAACTTTTATGTTCTTCTATAGTGATTTTTGATTCGAACTGAGGCGACTGCCTCTTGCACCAGTGGTGTTCTTTGGGACCAGTGGTCCTCTTGCGTCGATTGACGTTGTTCTTTGGGACCGATGGTCCTCTTGCGTCGATTGACGTATCCTCACACCTATCTGCTTTCAGACTGTTACTTTTTGCTTCCACATTGGCTGGTTCACCGCAATTTTCACTATTATATATGGAAATGAACCCTACTACTCTTTCAACTTTTTTCCTACTCTCTTGTATCACGGATTATACTCATATGTGGCACATGTATTACACTTTAGCCTAGGCTATAGATGGTTTTCGTTTCATTTGCTATCCTTGTTTATTACTGGTTGGCCCTGCGCGTTTTTCCTTCTCTTTTTTTCATTCTTTTTTCTACTTTTTTGTTATTTAACATGTCCCATACTTCTCACACACTATCATTAACACACTGAGGGGCCATGCCTCTCAAAAAAGAGGGCCATACCTCTTCAAAAAAATAGGGACTAGCGCTGACGGGGTTATACAAGTCAAAAACGGCAAGAGGGACAGTTTTTGGCGCCCCCAGCGCTGGTAGTTTTGCAGGGAGAGCCACCCCCTGGGCAGCAGCCCTGCCGAACCTTCGGGAAGTCTGCTCTCTGCGTATGGGTTTGACCGCTCATGCGCTTAGATCTTAGGTCAAAAAATGCGAAAGTCAGCGCTACAAATTATTACTCCACCACCCGGTTCCACAAGGTAAGGGGTGGGGCCAATCACTTCAAACTCAACGACTTTGGTAACGATAACAAGGGTTGCAAATGTAAAAGAAAGTGCAGAACATGTGATATAACTAATACAGATAATTACATTGTATCAAACGTTACAAATTTATACATTAACACATATAAAGAAGCAGATGCAGATTGTAACGCTAAAAATGTAGTTTACTGTTTAACATGCAATGGCTGTGGGATACAATATGTTGGAATGACAGTAAGAAAATTAAAAGAAAGAATTGGAGAACATCTTTCTAATATTTTTTCACACAAGGTACACACACCGTTATATAATCACTTTTACAAATGTGATAGAGGTATAACGGTACAAGTACTAGACTGTATGAAGTCTAATGATAAAACCACATTAATAGAAAAGGAACTTTTTTGGATCAAACTTCTGATGACAGCATATCCCTTTGGATTGAAATGATAACATAAAGGGATATGGAAACATTACAAATATAGATAATCCTCTCATGTACAAGGGCAATCATCCCTTCTTCTCTCTTAAAATTACAAAACAAAGGATAAATAGAGGAAAAAGAAGCAGTAAAAAAATAAAAGTAAGCACATACGATAATATTATAGCAACGATAACAAGTAATAGTGAAACACTCAAACCTATTCATTACTTCAGAATGCTCAAAAGCCTGCGTAAAGAAGAAATTAAGAAACTAATTGAACTCTCCATGTCTGCAGACTTTCTACAAAGAGTTAATAATAAGACTAGGTACTTAATATTTTGTCTGCTAGCTCATTTTCATTTTGACACTACCACAAAAGAAATCACCAAAAAGAACTATCATAATGTAGAGGTCAGTTTCAAAAGCAGGGTGTTTAATGAAATACCCTTCAACAGAATCTTCAATTCACGTACTGTTAGAGATATACTACTCAACGATAATGGAAGGAGCAGTGATTTCACCCCAATTAGAATCATTTATAAGTACAGCAACACAATGGCTAGCAAAATTTGCAATTACAACAAAGTGTTGAAAGATCTCGACAACGAAAAATTGAAGCAAATACTCAACAACGATTGTATATGTACTACAAATACAGTACAAGAATATGTGGATAAAAATCATGAACACGTTATCACAGGAAATGTAAATCTTATAAAGAAGATGGTTTCAGAAGACTACTGAGTAAAGGGACCAAATATAGATCTGACACAGGCATAACAAGACAAGAAGTTAGAATGGTGTTTGAAGATACACTCAACAAGATAATAAATTATTTTAAATATAAATACAAGGCTAGCAATCACAAGATTAATCTATTATATAAACATTTTCGTTCATGTTACCATGACAAAGTAAAACCTCTACTGACAAAGGCTAATATTGAAAATATAGGAGAACACATACCTTACAACTTAATCAAACAATATCAAGAAAAATACGTGTTCTGTCCTCTCGACAAAGCAAATAATAACTATGGCATCATCTGCAAGAAGTTCTACCTTCTGAACATAATGCATGAAATGGGCATTTCTTATGATGCTGCCAACCACACATTTGTCTATGGAAATAGTAATAACACATATGAGTTAATGCCTCATACGAACAAGTATTCTTTAATATTGAAGCACAAATTCCTTTGTGTAAAGAATAATATCAATATATCCATTGATGCAGAAATACCTACTATATATGCCTTACCAAAGCTACATAAGAACCCAGTTAAATTCAGGTACATCACAGGTGCACATAGCAGTAGTATTAAACCACTGGCTCAGGAATTACGCATAATCTTCACACATCTTAAAAATCACTTCATAAACTACGCTAAAGCAATACAGAATCGCAACAGGACTATCAAGACATACTGGTCTATAAGTAATATTAATATAAGTCACGAACTACACAACATCACGTTCGACAATCTCAAAATTTACACAGCAGATTTCACTGACATGTTCACAAATTTAGAGCATGATCTTATTCTTAAGAAAATGCAGGAACTCCTTAACATTTGCTTCAAAAATGCCAACAGATCCTTTATTGCCACTAATGGTTAC